TTTGCGAATATAAAATAATACAATATATATAATAATTATAATATGATATAATATAAAATAATATAAAACTATAATATTATATAATATAAAAATATAAGATAAGATAAGACAATATATAATAAAATAATAATTATAATATAATATAATAAAACAATATCACATAGTATAATCTAATCTAATTTAATATAATATAAGATAATAAAATAAAATATAAAATGCTATAATACAATTTAATTTAATATAATAGTAATACAATTTAATATAATAAAATACAATATAATAAAATAATATATTAAACTAAAAAATAAAATTAAAGTATAAAACAATATAATATAATATAACAAAAAATAATATAATATATTATATAAAATATAATATAAGATATATGAAATAATAAAATAAAATATCATATCATATAATATAATACTATATAATTGAATAGCGACGTGGCGTTTGTTTTAGTTTTTTGTTGGCAATTCAACGGTGCCGAAAAAAGCATACGCTCACTTCCCAGGGAAAGTGAGCGCATCCATGTGTGATGCTTCAACATAGATAAGTTTTATGTGATAAAGGAAATAAACCTTTTTATCCACACGACGGTGGTGTTGATCAAGGTATTACTTTATGTTGAGGGGTACTTGGGGCGTGGCGCTTTAAACTGACCTGTAATAATAATATAATATAATATAAGATAATTTTTAAATATATATGAATATAATTAATATAATTTGTCATAATATAATAAACCAATATAATAATATAATTCTTAATAATATAATATAACAATATAATTTAATATAACAAAATATAATATAATATAATATAATATAATATCATTTCATAAAATATAATACAGTAATATAATATAATATAATATGGTATGATACAAAATATTATTTAAAATATAATATTATATAATAGAAAAATATTCTGTAAGATAAGATAGTAGAATGAAATATAAGATAATATAATATAATAAAGTATAAGATAATATAATCTAATATAATATAATAAAATATAAGATAAGATAATATACTATAACATAAGATAAGATATTAACATATAACATAATATAAGTAGATAAGATAATATAATACAATATAATATAATATAACATAATATAGATGATATGATATAATATTAAAATATTTAATATATGATATACGATATATAATACAATATGATAAAATATAATATAATATAATATGATATAATTTAACTTATAATATGATATATAATAATTATATGTGGTTATTTCTCAAAATGGGGGATGCTCGAAAACACCTCTAAAGGGATGAGTTTCGAACACTTTCGAGCATCCCCCATTTTGAGAAATGCCCGTATAATAAAAAGTTTGGATATAACAAAATTTCCTTTGAAAGGGGTCCTCGGAGTAAAAGGGGTCCCCATTCACTGACCCTCAGGACCCCTTTCAAGGGAAATCTTGTTGAAGATACAACGTGTCTCAACTTAGGTCATTCCATCAGCTATCAATTCTTGTTTTTGTCAGGTTTTTGCTAGTCAGCCAGTCATTCTTGTCATGCATCCGGCTTGCCAGGATATCTCATTGAAGCCTATCAACGAGTTTTTGCCTGAGAAGTGGAATCCATGGAATGAGGTTCCACTCACCCGCTGGCTTTTGAACAGCATCCCTGATGCGCATTACCGTGAGCGCATGCGGGCGTGCGGCAATATTGTCGTGCCACAGTGCGGTGATCTGGGCATGGCTTTGCTTCATCGCATGATGCTGGAAACCGTTTGAGGATGCCACTTGTTTAGTCCAAGAGTTGCGAAGTTGGCTTGTCAAGAGAGTCTGTTGTGTTGTGTTGCCTCTAAACAACGGGACCCCAGCTAATTAGTGGTGTGATTTTAGCTTGAAACCAGCAAAATTCATGAAATATCAAAATTCGAAACATCGCAGTGGGACGGCCACTGACTGGATGAAATGAAACGCGGCGAATGCCTGGAAGGGTTCAGACTGGGTTCAAGAATGGTGCTTCAGAATTGACCACAGTGCACAATGGTGCCTTCTTCGTGGCTGTTTTTTTCAAGGAAGCACAGTTCGCCTCTGATTTCATAGGCTCTCACGCCCTGATACATATTTCCCATGCCTTCAAGTCCACCTGATGAATTGCGGAAGCCGATCCCAACCGCAGTCACTGCCGCAGGCTTGGTCAATAGTTCCAACCACTTTTGGGTTGACACTTTAGCAGGAATACCTTGTGGGGGCCTTCTTTTTGGACAGCTAAGCCAATTGGATGACCATGTTTCGGTGACTTGCCTCCAAAGATCTTCTGTTTTGCACACGGTAGGATCTGGTGAAGGGAGTGGCGGCTTTCACATTTTGAACGGCGACATTTTGAAGGCAAGGCAAGGGTCCTTGCGAGATTGCGACCTAGTCATTGGGATGAGTTCTCTATATAGTGGCTTGTGTCTCTATAGTATTTTGGGCTGTCAGGACATCGTGGAAGCAGGAATGCTCGACCAGAAGGACGTCATCGTCTTCAAGTTTCAGCGTATTGCTGAAGGACTGCGTTGAATTCCTCCCTAACATAATCTTATTCATCAAGTAATAGAGGCACCGCGGCGTGCGGACCCAACCCCCCAAAAGTTATTTTTTTTTGCGTGAAACCGTGAACACCCGCTGAGTTAGTAATCGCCGCTTAAAGTGGCAAATCAGAAATGTGTGCAGTTGATGCGCTCTGGGTTTAGCAACACGGGTCAAAACTGAAGGAAGAAGTGGGAAAGAGCTCTGTGTTCCACAGTTCTGGTCCAATGTGCTTCGTGCTTTTTCTTTGGTGTTGCTTTATTCTCGTCCTTCTGTGTGGCGTGCTCTTTGTTTTCTTCCGTTGGTCTGTGGTGCGCTTCGCTTCTGGGTCTGTTTTAAAATCAGAAAATTAATTTGCTTAGATGTTTCTGAACCCCCTTCGTTTTGGCAACTCGAGTATACGGAAACATCCTTAACTTAGCAAGAGGCAGAAGCCAGAAAGCTAGGTTTTGTAGGCTTCATGCTTGCGCATTCCGTCGCAATGATTTGATCCAGTCGTTCCAAAAGCGATCTAATTTTTGACAGTAAAACCAAGTGGATTTGTGAAGCCTTTCTGTCATTGGGTTCCGGACATTTTTGTCCAAAGTCTGACGCAGGACCTTTTCCATGCCTTGACGCCGAGAAGTGCTGCTACCTTCTCGGAGCTGACAATGACAAGACGTACGTTTCGATCTTTGATGCATTCAAACTTTTTGTTTGTTTTCCATCGCTCAGTTTGCGATACTGTTCCATGCAACGTGGGATTGCGAGTTTTGCTCAGGATTCTCTTCCGCAATGCTGCCATGTTTCCAGACACGAGCCCTGAGGGTTTGTTTCCTGGAGACCAGTTCGCTTGTGCAATTTCAACTCACGGTTTCAGCACATCATGGAGTGTCATTGCCCTTTTGCCTGATGAAGAGATGGCAGCGGCTGATTCGCCACGGCCCGTGGTGCGGGCCACATCGTTGACCAACATGCCTGTCATTAGCATTCCAGCTGTGAAGTACCACACCTTCGTTCGCGGTGTTGAGAGACTAAATGGTGGTTGCTAGACTTGCAATTTGTGTTATTGTGGCATTACATTTTGGAGCCACCATACGAGATTGAATATTTTCCTTCTTTCAATTTGTAGGTTGGTGCAACTTGATGTATACCCAGGTTCTGGGGAAGGACCTGCCCTTTCCTTGGAAGCTTCGAAGGCCGTACTAAGTTCTTTGAACTGAAGAACAGAGGTGACCCGCGGTTTAAAAAAGAGGATGTCGCCGACCTCTCACCATCAGCGCAGTGTTGACACATACATGTCACTTTTGAACCCGCGGTTCCAAGTCGGCTCTATGCTAATATTATTTTTGGTTGTTTCAACGGTGAGCACGGTTATGAGTGTCACAGACATGCAAGGCCCTTTGTCGAACCTATTTTAGCAGAGCGACCAAGAAAGGTTGAAAAAACATGCTATTTATTGTTGCCCAATGTTGACATTATTTGTTTTGACCTGCCCAGTGACCAATGGTCTTCTCGAGCGTAACGAGTCTCAGCGATGATGATGCAGAAGCTGCTGGTCCTGCAGAAGCTGAGGCTGCTGCCCCACCGTCTCCAAGCGCCCGTCCCAGGAAACGGCGCCGGAAGACTATGTCCCCGAAACGATCTTCAACTCAGATGACCGTGGATGAGATGGTGGCTAAGCTCCGCCAGCCCTGTTCTTGCAAGAAAATTGATTGCTTTCAACAGTTTAGTTCTGAACCTAAGCTTTCGAGCTTCAAGGCTTATTTCGAAGAATGGATGAGCCTCTCCAAGCTTGACAAAGACAACCTGGTCTGCCTGGCTCCTTTTCAATTTGTTTTCGGACATATGGCAAACTGTCATGCTTTGCCAACCACTGGGCCAGGCGTTTGGCCGCATGAAACAGCTTGTGGCAAAGGCCGGAGAGGACAACTACACTAGTTGGTCAGTTCTGGGTGTTGACCTTTGCCGTCGAGCTTGGATGTCAATCCATTGCATGGGCCGCTCGGTGTGGTGGCAAAGTGGGTGTGTCAGAAGTTGGACAACTGTATAGTACCCATTGCAGATTCCCATGCTCACAGAGCATTAAGGAGCTGGTCGCTTTGGCAAACTCTGGGCTGCTGCCCGGGACGATGAACCTGCCCCTCCTGTCGATCTCAGATACTTGACCTGTGAAAATGGTCGCGTTGGGCAGTATGAGGATTCCAGTGTGCGAGGTGACATTTGTAGTTTTCTGGAATACCTTTATGAAGGGGTTGCTGAAACCCTGCCTGATTTCAGAGACGAGCTTGGTGCCGCGTCCACAGTGGAGGTCAGTGTAGATGATCCCTACGCCACTCAGTTGAACCGCCCCGCAGAGGCAGTTCTGTCAGAGATGGTTCCAAAGCAGAAAAAGCCGAGAAAGAACAAACGTCAGGTTGTTATCAACCAATCTCGCACTGGGATTGAAGAACGTTGGCTTCCACCGGGTACCATGAAAGAGTATTACGATCAGTATGTTTTGCAGTCGTCCCTGAGCAAGCCCGGCAGCTTTCCGTCGTTCTGGCGGGTAGCTTTGACACCAGCTTGGATTTTTCCGTTTTTAATTGTGGAACCAGCATCTATATCTTCTGGGCTTCCATTTTGGGCCTTGTAGGGTTCCATTTCGGGAGTGGTAATGTTTAGTCATGATAGCTACCATTTCAGGAGTTTCAATGAAAATGCGTGATTTTCCATTGTGTTCAAACCATCATGTTCCCTTTTCCAGGCATGGCTCGCTGATTTCAGTTCCTTGATGATCAGAGCTAAGAGTCAGCATGCCCAATGCTCCACCTGTGTCCGACATCGCCACATGGTGAAGCGTCTGGGGCATCATCTGGCAGCGCGTCGTGAACAACAGACCCTATACCATCAGCACCTCAGGGACCAATATGCTGACAGGATGGTTTATTACCAGCAACGAGCCCTGTCACGGGCCCATGAAAGCAAAGTGATCACGATAATACAGGACGGCATGGACCAGCAGAAAGCAAGTCTGCCGAGATCACCGATGATGTTTCAGAAAGATCTGGCTTTGCTGCAAAAAGCCAAATTGCATATTTCTTTGACTCTGGTACATGGATACTTCATGCTGTGGGTGCTGAGCGATCCGGATTGTCAGAAAGATTCCAACGCATCTGTCGAAACACTGGCACACGCCATGGACATCCTGCGCAGCGACTTCTCTTTGAATCTGTCGGAGTACACCATCATTTGCCATGCCGATAACACTTGTCGTGAGGTGAAAAACAACCACTGCTTTCGCTTCGCAGCTGGACAAGTTTCCTGTGGCAATGTCAGGCTGTGGTCGTACCGCTTTTTGCGGTGCGGCCACAGCCACGAAGATGTGGATCAATGTTTTGGAAGACTTGCCCGACATATTTCAAGGACTCGCGTGGCCCAAACTCCAGAAGACATGCTGGGTGTCATCTCTTCTTGCGCGCAATCCATGCACAGGCCACATGAAACCAAAAGATACGTCGTCAAAATGGATCAAACAAGGGACTGGTGTCTAGGCTGTCGTTTAGTTGACTTTTACTCATGTCCAAACACTTTTCAGTGATGGATAAGCACTTGGTTTGATTGAATGTTTAAGAAATCCATCTGACTGCCGGCATTTTTGAATTTAGTGTGTTCAGTGCTCCCAAACCGTTCGTCGTTAGGAAAGGATTTCACAGCGGTGCTTGCCCATTTCACATTGTGGGCTGCGGCGGCCCAGGAGCGCCGCATACCTTCACCTTCATGAAACGAAGCGACGAACACATGGCCGGCGTGGAGATTGACGAAGGTCTTTTCAAGCAATCTCCACGACATCGTGGTGATGTGATCCTCAGGAGAATTTTTTGTGTGGTGGAAGTTTCACTGCAGCGACTATCATTGTTGTTTCTCGCAGGACGAAGCGATGGACCGCAAGCCCGGAGTTCTCGACGACCGTCACGGTGCTGCCTCGAGACATTGCTCTTGCCAAGATGCCTCTTGGACTGCCTACAGGCATGTGGTGCCGCTGGAGCTGTCTTTCATGGACCCAGACTTTCACGAAGCATTAAATGGTGATAGTCAAGTGGAACCTGAGCCCCGTCTTGTGAAATCAAGTAGAGAGACAGGAAAAACCCAAAGTGAAACAGTGACACGTTTATTAATTATTATGGTTCTGGATGTTCATTCAGCGCTTGTTTCTGGATTTTCGATTTCATTCACCACTTGTTGCGTTGCAGGGCTGTCGGACAAGAATGCCCTGGGTGAGGAGTACAAGAAACACGTTCGCAAGTTTTTGCCCCTCTTGCGTTTGCCCATCAATGCTTTGAGCAAAGCTGCTGATTGGCTGGAAGACTGGATCAATGGAGATTTGGCCCCGACTCCATTGCTTTCTGTGAAAGCGAGCCTTGCATTCAAACTGTATAAGTTGTTGGTTTTTTAGAGGAACCAGTGCGCCTGGGACCCATCTACATTAAATATTTTGTGGGTTACCGGACCGTTTTTTCAATGTGAGGTGTGTCATCCAAGCTGGCCCTCGAGCTTCGGGACATGCGGTGCAAGGGTCTGCTGATCCTTTCTTTGTGCCTGAGAACCGGATCAAGTGACTTGATTATTTTTTTTGATTGGGTTCCTCGTTTAATTTTTTGAATAATAATTGGGTCAAATGTTTGTCTTCTTTCGCTGTCAGTTTGAAGACAGAATGCTATTTGCTAGGATCATCAAGCCCGGCCAGAAAGACGTGAATGTCTATGTTCGGAAAGCTCGTCAATCAATGGTGTATCAAATTGCTGCAAGGGCATGGTCCTACGGTGTACCGTGGGCTGATGCTTTGAAATTTTCGCGTGAAGCAGATGTCGCAGCAGCTGCCGCGCATCCTCATGGGAAAGGCCGTGGTAAAGGCTGCGCCAAAGGCGGCACTTGACCACTGAATCTTTGTGCTTATTGTCCGACGCGAGATGCTTGCATGGAAAGAGTGGCGCAGCTGAGAAGTTGGGTGTGCAGGCTCTGCAATCATCTTTGCCATCAAAGCTTTACCGGCACCTTTTCTTGTTCGCATGGCTAAACCCTAAACGTGGTCAGCCTTGAATTTTTTTGGGTGCGGCAGTAACGTTTAGGGGGCTGCCTTCTCAAAATTGGTCACTTTGTGCGTTTGAAATCAGTCTCAAAAATGAAGATGGAACAGCTTCATTGCATTTGACCGATCCCACCTTCGATGAGTCACTACTGGTAGTTTGACATCAAAGTTTATTCTTTTGTTATTTGAACAATGGTAGTGCCACACTTGCCACCCATGTCATTTGGTGACCGATCACACCTCTGATTGGTCACTGGGGGGCCTGGTTGCTCATGTACCCTCGGGGAGACCGTTTTGGGCACTCCCAAATATGATATTGGATGCAACAGCTGGTTCCAATCCATAGATTCTATTTCAACAGCATTTCAGTGACGGATTTTTTTCGGTGGAATATTCACTAGTGACGGATCACACCTTGGATCAGTCACTGGCACAGTGATAGACTCATCCTTGTGACAGTGACGGATTTCTGGTTGGCAGCTACTTTCGGTGTCCATATCTGAATCTTTTTGCGCTTCAGTATTCATTCGGCTTTGAAGTGACGGATTTTGTGGATTCAGCAGTGACGGATTTTTCTGAGCTAACAGTGACGGATTTTGTTTGGGTAGCAGTGACGGATTTTATTTGGTTTTCGGTAAGTGTTTTTCTTGGTATTCCCTTGTTCTTCAGCGGGGCCCCTGAATAGTTAGGTCCGACCTTCAGCTGGCAGGTCCCTTTGGCTCTTTGACTGCCTATAGGATCCCTTTTTGACAACTCTTAGTCTTGTTCAGTTGCTGTTGCAATGCCAGCCAAGCGGAAGTCGACTGGCGGCAACGAGAAAGGTCCCAAGGAGAAGGCTTCCAAAGTCGCGGGTAACAAAAAGGTCAGTCCGGAGGAACAGCCTTACATTACAGACTGCGTGGCTTGGTTTCTTGGTTGCTATCTCGGCTGCTTATTTGTGAAGTTTGCTTCAAGTGCTTGTGGTGATGTTGCTGCAATTGGTCGCTTTGAATGAGGTTGAACGACAAAGTCTTCTCTGAAGGTGGCCCCGATGCCTACCTGACCCGCATCTACGACACCAAGGACTGACCCAGTTGTTTTGGTGTTCTGGCGCAAAATTTTGCAGGGTTGTCAGATCTTCAAGTGTTTGAAGCATCCCGAAGCTACCAAACTCTGTGTTATAGGCAGCAAGCTGACACTATGCCATAGACCAGGCCCAGGCTCTAAACTTGACTTAACTTTCTGACCATTATTTTTCCTTCACATGTAGGAGAAGATGTTGGAGTTTGCCAAGTGGATCGATGGATTTGCACCTGCCGACCCAAGGTAAGGACTTTTCGGGCCGCCTTCTCTTGTAATTCTCTGAACTAATCAGAGGTCTGACTGACCCTGAATCGTCAATTTCAGCTTCGTGCCTTCAACTTCCACATCAAATAATGCCTTATTGGAATGTTTTGTGTTGCTGACACTCTTGTCTTCGTTTCCCAGCAAAACCACGCACTGAAAAGCTTGCCAATGAATCACGTTTTCAAGCAGGCTTTCCTACGCCACAAGCTTCGACGGAGCCGGTCATTGTCGACCTTGGATGCTGCACTGGAGAAGCGATTATGGGTGTTCGGGATTCCTGGAGCCCGAGCAAGCAGGCATGATCATGGAGTGCATCTTCGCGGAGGGGTTTCTTGGAACACGGTTGTGATGATTGTTTTAGGCGGGGCTTTCAGTTAGACTTTTAGCGAGCACTTATAATTGTGCTTCCCTTCCGCTGACAGTGCGGCAATTTTCTCGCATCGATTCTGTCAGTTGATGCCTGCCGTCTTTTGGTATGAGGTTCATGTCAGACCCTGACCAGCCTGGCGTGGAGAAATTGTCTACCACGAAGGTCCCTCAGGCTTTTCTTGATAAGCCAGCCGAGGAGCTCCCCTCCATCATTGGAGGTACTGGGATGCTGTTTTTCAATTCAAGTTGGCTCTCTCTCCAACATACCAAACTACATCATAAATCAGCTCAAAGTTATACTTCATTCAAGTAATATATCTTTTAAAGTTTTCTTGACAAAAGTTGAGAGTCCGCCCAGACACCCACTCACTACGGAGTAGATTTTTGGTTCTCTCGAATCTGCAGACGGCTTGCTTCTGATAGGTGGAGCGCTCCTCCCACCATTTTCGGTGGGATACGTCAAAGGATGGAAGCGAGCGACGATGGCACTCATAGTTTTGCAAGCTATCAAAGAGCTGCAGCTGGAGGACCAAGTTCCACACCGCATCAAAGTTTCTTGCATCCATTTGTTTTTCAATAGGTTCTGCATGTCACTCTAGAGGGGTACCCCGCAATCTTTTTGTGAAAAGAATCGCGTAGCGAAATGCGTAATCTACAAATTTCATCTCCGATGTTATGATGCTGTGAGGCTTCCTTGGGCACGATGCATGTGAGCTTCAGCCCCTTCAAAGATGTTCGTGCTCAGGTTCATGCGAACAGAGGCTTGAACAGCTTTTCGGCATGATGTGTTACTGTGTTATAAGTGATGTCCAAACGCAGCTTTGTGGATTCCGAACTCCGCTTTGGATTTCGCTTTGGGAAAAAAACCCTGCTGCAGGCGTCGGCCTTCTGGCCGCGGCAACGAGGCTGAAGCCAAATGCCTTTCACTTTCGACGCCAGGTGATTATTCTTCAGCGAGCCGGTGGGGGAAGCGCTGAGCGTCAATTTGAAGAGCTTTGGCTAACATGGTTCCAAATGAACGACAAAATTACTGTATACAGTTCGTCCCAGGTTTGTGTTTGGATGTAATAATGTAATATTCACTTGACCAGCTTGAGGTATTATATAGCACATTTTGAGACAGGGTACTGTATACGGGGAAAAGCATCGCAAATCAAGAACAACATAAGAAGCCTCCCACAAGTTTCTAGAAGACTGTGTATTTTAAATTAGAGAAGAACCTGGCACTTGTCTGCCATCTTCGAGAGATCAAAATCTGAGATCATTCATTTTGCAAATTGGCAGGAATGGCACCAGGCCTCTTCGTTGGCAAAGGCGTTTTCCATTGGAGCCAGGGAGGCCGAGGCCGTGTCCAACCTCATGACGAAAATCGAAGAGGGCATCTTTGAAAAGCTTTGCTCCAGTGTTCGCCAACGTGGCATGAGCCGTTTCATCTCACACGAAGCAATAGCGAAAGGTGTGTTTAACACTGGATGGACCTCCGGGCTGTTGGGTTGCGAAGCGTGGCGGGATGAGTTCACAAATCTAAGGGATGGCAAGCTTGCTTCTTGGTTTTTGATTACCTGTGGCTATATCTGCTATTTGGAGGTATTGAAATAGTTTTGAATAAAATATTCACCTACTGTAACAATAATAGTTTGTTATAGCTGTATGTATTATATAGATATTGTTTGAAAGTGCATGCCTGCATCGCTTCTTAATATTTTCCGATCGATGCATTCCAGGTTGGGCTTTTTGTGGAGCGCGTCATCGGAGATTGGGACAAAACTCCGAGTCAGCTTCGCAAATCGCTGGTGTACAAGGAAGCTGTGACCCTCCATCAGGCCACCGCTGCCTTCCTGCATTTCCTGTCGGTCTTGAGGCGAGGGTTTCCGGCCAGAGAGTTCAGTGAGGCCGAGGCATCTTTGCTGCAGCAATTCAAGCAGGGTTTTTTAGATCCTGATCTCCTTCATGCAGTGAGCGGCCAAGTTCCTCCGGGTGATGTTCGCTCGGTCGGAGCTTTCAGGCCCAGAAACGGGGCAACGTATTTGTGGTGTGATTTTCCTTTTCTTTTAAGAGGCATTTGACGTCGTCATGATCATGTTACAACCAACATGCAGCCAGGCCATACATCTCCAAGATGGAAACCACAGCCCGCGCAGAGAAGGAGGCCAAGGATGCCCAGCTTGCCGCGAACGTGCGTCAGGCTGACTTGCAGCAGTTGATGGCCAAGCTGGAGGCCGACTTTGAACTTTTGCAGAGTTTGAAGCCTGATGAAGATTCGGAAGCCCAAGAGCATGCCAAAGACATGAAGTATTTGCGCGATCGTCAACAGTCACTGGGATTTGTCTGGGTTTACATATATATAATATAATATACACATTACATTCAATAATATTATAATATTATATTAAATTATATTTTATTAAATTGTATTATTTTATAATATCTTATCTTATCTTATATTATCTTATTTTTTATTATATTATATTATCCTATATTATATTAGATTATATTATCTTATGTTAATATTATATAATAGTATCTTATGTTAATACTATATTATATAATATTATATTATAGTATATTGTATTATATTATATTATTTTTTTAAATATATTATAATATATTATACTATATTATATTATATTATATCATATTATATTTTTAATATTATATTATATTATATTTTTTAAATTATATTATATTATATTATATTTTATTATATTTTTATATTATATTATATTATATTATATTATATTTCTTAAATTAAATTATATTATATTATATTAAAATTTATATTATATTATATTATATTGTATTATATTATTTTTTAAATATTATATTATATTATACTATATTATATTATATTAAATTATATTATATTAATCTTTTTTTATTATATTATATTATAATATATTATTATTATTATATTGTATTAAATTAAATTATATTATATTTTTTATCGTATCTTATCTTATTTTATACTTTATTAATATAATATTATATTTTATTATATTTTATTATATTATATTTTATTTTATTATACATTGTAATTCTATATTATGTTATATTATAATATAATATAATATAACATAATATAATATAATATAATTTGATATTTTCTATTATATTTTTTATATATATTATATTTTACTATATATTATATTGTATAGTTTCAAGTTTTTGTTGCATTTTCTGTTCCCGGAAAAAACATACCGTGGGCATACTTCCAGCATCTTTCTGAGGCAGGGTGATGCGTACGTGGACGATTGGATGAAAGCCAATTGTTGCCTTTCACAAACAGATCCCACCATGGAAGGCATTGTGACCAAGTTCTTGGGTTGGAGGGAACAATTTCGCGGTCAGGGAGAAGAGTAACTTGGCAAAGTTTTTCTCATGGACTAGTTGACGCATTTTTGTTCCCAAAGAAAACACGACCGAACACAAGCTTGTCAATTTTTATGTCCTATTGAAAGGGGCCAACAGACCAAGTCTTGAAGGTTTATAGTTTGCTCTTTGGATTTCACGGTCTTCCCGGCCAACGCCACCTATGTGGGCACCGCCTTGAAGTCGTTTGCTTCCTTGCTTTCGATGTCTTCGACCGCTTTGGGCTTTGTCATGTACCCCACGTGGCAAAGTCAGACTTCCGAGTCAGCTTTGGTGAAGCACAGGCAGATGTTGGACAGTGCCTTTCTGAAAGCAGGCCTTTCTATGAAGAACTATGTGCAGATCCTCTACACGAAGCCTGACTCCAACGCAAGAGATGGGAGAGCTCTTGCGCAGCTTGGGCTTGCCACGTTCCACACCCATTTTGACAGCAATGCATGGTCTTCCTGCAAGCCTTTGCGCGAAGGCACTGTTGGACCATGCCCTTTGGCCAGAATCATGGATTTCATTGGGTACGACCAGGACGTCAGCAAGCCCGGTGCTTCGGCCAGGGTCGAGCAGTTTCTTGGTGGTTCGTTATTTTTCGTTTTGGAACCGACCCCCGTATAATTAATTATAGACATAAACAAATTATAGGCATGAAAAAACATGGCTCTTTGGCGTGCCAGTGCTAAAAATGATACGTTATTTCAAAACCCACATGGCCTCAAACTCCCAGCGAGGAAAGGGGTGCCGTGTTATGATGCCATCATTTCTTCCCTACTGGAGGGCATGAGGTTCCAGGACTCAGACAACATCCTTTTTGTTGATTTGGTGCCAAACCGGCACCTTGGCTTACAAATGTGCTGTGTGTGTATCCTGTGGTTTGAAAGTACCAGGAACAACTTGACCCCCGCAAGTCTCCTTTTGTTCGCTTGGTTTCAATCATATGGGGCTGGAAGGCTGAGACATGTATTGCTCAGAAATCCTGAGAGGTGTATCTTGAGTACCGGTGTGTCCGAGACATTTGGAAACCAATTTGTAAAGGTGTTAAATACCAGCACACACACACACACGGACACCTTTCATAGCTGTCAAGAGCATACTGCCCGCCAGGTTTTGCGAGTTCGGACGTGCGTGTTTGAAACGCGCACTGACTGGTTCTGGCCGCAATCTGCGGTACTTTGGCTGCACGTTGGAAGAGTTCCAGACGAACAGCTCTGCCCTCAGGAACATGACTTACAAGGAGTGGGACGGCAATCCGGAGAAGAGTCCACCCAAAACGCGTGTCAGGGACAACGGTGGTCCAACTTCACAGCCTCCAGCCCTTGAGATCCTGGCTTGGTCGGACAATGCTCCAAGGTTTCCTGATGTACTTTTGGCCAGATTCCCGCAAGGCACGGTCGAGAACCACAAAATCATGGAGATGCATGAGAAGTTCAAGGAACATTTTCCAGAGTCTTCACAGCCGGCGCCCGTTGATCCACAAGGCGGCAGAGTCGGTGGATTGTGTGACTACACCGTGGATGGCGGGAAGCAACCGCTTGATCCTGACCGAGACATTGACCTTTGTTTCGTGCAAGCCTCTGAGCTTCCCGAATCGAGGCCCACATGTCTTTTTCCCAAACCTTCATTGGTGAACTTAAGACATGCATGTCTATGTATATCTCTCTATGAATTGAATGCTAATGGTAAATACTTTAAGCGACCGAAACCAGAGGTTTATACTGTTTGCGCCTGAAGTTTACTTGCTATTTTTAAAGTCTGTGCCTTGAATGATATCTTCCCCGCAAACCGGCCAGGAAGGCCGAATGTCCTGCCATTGGCAAGAAGCCTGCCATCATCATTGCAAGTGATTTCAGCATTTGGATCGGCAACACTTCCGATGCCCATCTGGATCTGAAGAGCATTGAGCTGTTTGGGTTTGGCCGTGGTGTGTTCGAGGAAAAAATTATTTGCAACTCGGTTGATTTTTGCCGCTTTTGCGTTCAGCGTCCAATGGTCTTAATACATTAAGTTTTGCTAAAAAAACCTCATTTCATTGCTCCTTAGAACCCTTCAGGTGATGTCAATGAAGAGTTACACGGTCTCCCGTGGCGCTTGGCCAATGATTTGACCCTCGTGGCTTTCAACAAGCAATTGCTTCCTTGCTGCCAGCTGCTGCGGAAAGCCGCCATCGACATGGGCCTCAGTGAGGTTGAGCTTTGTGACCATGCCTTGCGGCCACGGATGAGCCAGGCCGATTCAAAGAGTTGCTCAATTCTTTTGTGTTTTTTGGATCCTGTTTGATGCCTCTTCCAGAGAATTGCCGCGGAGCGGGCCATGAAAACATCTAGAGTTAGTAAAGTTCAGTCTTCAAAAGTTTATGGAGTCGACGCTTGCTGAGAATCTCAGGCCAGCAGTGGTGAAGAGACCCCAGTGCTTTTCCGCTACATCATTACACCCAAGGAGTCCAAGAAGACCAATGTGTTCAAGCCAGCGGTGAATGCAGATGAGGGAGAAGGCCAGTCTGAGAGTGCGTGGCGACAGCAAACTATCGGTGCAGCGTTTGTCGGCAATATGAACAAAGTGATTGCGAACCCCCGAGCCTCTGTGGTATGGGAGGCCCGGTTCTTTTAACTTTTGCTCGTCAAAGTCACTCAATTGGCCGCAACAAACTTACTCATCAAGTGGCTAGACGTTAAACTTTTTAATTTTAGATCTAATAAGGACGCGAACCCAACCCCCACAAAAAGATTAGCATTTTTTTTTCACAAGAACACCCACTCTGAGAGTTAGCTCAAACATCCCCCCCAAAAACCGTATGGTGCATTTTCACCATTATTCCAAAACAGGTCGATGTGGAGCGGTCTCCTAGCAAGATTGGTGCAATCAAGCCGAAAGTCTACCTCACTTGTGCCCTCCGTGTTCCTCCGAACTCCTGGTGCAACCTTTCAGCAGTGTGATCAAGACTGAATGGCTCGTAGCATTAAATGCTCTTTTTTAAAGTAGTTTGCTGAGATGCCGCATGTTTGATCGCTGTTTGTGCCTCTGGAAAGCCCAGAAACTGACTTCCTGTGAACTTGGGACAGATTTGGTTTCTAAGCAAGATGAATTGGAAAGGCACTCAGCGCAGAAGCCACCGGCTCCTTTACCATGGTAGGATGTTTTGTCTCCTGGCAGAGGTTTGTGCTGTTTGTTGTTTCTGTGATGTTTCCAAAACAGTATTTTATAATTACAAATCTTGCCTCCAACCGTTGATTGAGTTTTGTTTGTGTTTGTTCGCAAGCCTCTGCGCGCTGCAGCCGGCAGTTCGAGTTATTCCTACCAGTAGAGAATAACCTCAAAAATTTTCAGGTGCGGGGAACGGGATCTAGAATGTCATATTTTGAACCATCATCATGGTGAATGCGCCGGCTTGTCTTTTCACGTGCGTATTATGATGTACGCATACCAGCTCTTATTGGTCATGTCTTTTTGTGAGCTCACAGCGACTCAGCTGTCTGGTCCTCACTTGCCTTAACTTAGCCAAAGCGACTCAGCTGTCTGGTCCTCACTTGCCTTAACTTAGCCATGCCAATTTTCCGTTCTGTGGAAGAGTTGAGCGATGATGAACCGAACCCCAAGGCCGGAATGTTTGGGAATTGTTTTTAAAGACTAGCCATCTGTTTTCGAAATCTATTACGCAGTATTATGCCCCTTTCTCCTGCCATCAGGCCACTCCGAAAGCTACTCCGAAGAAAAAGGCCGTGCCTAAAAGGAAGGCAGCGGCAAAAAAGGGCACCGCCGGCACCGCCACTGAGATCTCTGAGGCTGCGCCAGCTGTACCAAAGGCGAAAGCCAAATGTGCATCCAAGGCAAAAGGCAAAGGTATGCCCAAGGCAAAGGCCAAAGGTGCGAAGAAGCCAAAAGCTTCGTCAAAGGCCAAAGGGAGCAAGACCGATGGTGAGGTGAAGGTCGAGCCAGAGGACGCTGAGTCACAGCCCAAGAAGCGTCCAGCTTCGGCATCGGCTTCGAAGACGGAGCCAAAGTTCAAGCGAGTTCCGCCAAGGATTATTGCTGGCAGCTTGGACACATGTTATGTTGTACAGAGTAGTTTCCAAAAAAACCCACCAACCTGAATAGTAGTAGTAAGAGTTTGGTTCCTGGTACCGCGGGGTTCCGCACATATTTTATCCTGACGACAGGGTTTTACAAGTTTGGGTCCGAGGCACGAACCAGAAGATTTACAGGCCTCGCTTGTACAAGAACAATGGCAGTTGGGCAATCCAGATTGACAACAATGAAGTCTTTCGAGCTTCCAGCCTAAATTTTTGTCTTTTGATTTGATGTCACAGATTGCAATAACTTCGGTATTATACTTTTTGATCGATCCTGGTGATTCAAGGTTGGAGGAAAGTTATACAGCCCTGAGAAGAGCAAGGTTGTGGCAGAACACGTCATTGAAGAGCTGATCAAAGGAGTTCCGATCCCTGAGGCCAAGAAGATGTCAGTGGCTTGGACCGAAAAAGAAATCACAGCCTCTTGCGCATGATAGGATTCATTCGCTAACAGCTTGTGAACTGATGAAGCAGTTCTTTCTTTCAGGTAGCAGCTCACACGAAAGATAGCCTTTGACCTTTTAAGGGCTAGAGGGCAGGTAGTAGTTCATACCAAATGTAGCCTCGTTTTCAGGTAGTCACTCGTAGAGATGATACGGCCTAAGCACATTTAGCAGATCATCAGGCAGCTCCATACGGATGTTGTAGCAGTGAAGTCCAAGCCATGAACAGCTCCTTAATACGGATGATAACCTTTAAGCCTAGTAAGTAACGGCTCACCGTACGGATGGTAACCTTTAAGTTCAAGTCAGCAGCGTCAATTTTTGAAGCCCAGGTCAATGGTTTCAATTTTCATTCGAATGAAAGGTTTTAAGTTTTAAGTCGAGGTCAGCAGCTTCCATGTGTTGTAGGGTCCCTGAGTCAAGGAAGCTATGCTCCGCGCCCTCCTGGACAAGGGCGAGAACAAGAGCCCTTCCACTGCTGCTTCTGCGCCAGGTGGTGCCGGGTCTGGGGCAGACGTGCCCGCAGAAGAGAAGGAACCCGCTGAGGAGGCAGAGACTCACGAGGAGGCTGAGGAGAACCAGGAGGGCGAGGAGGAACAGGCGTTGGAGGAAGATCCCAACGTGGATGTGGATTGATTTCCACAACATTTTGATCGGCGCGCCAATTTTTGATTTCAATGCGTTTTGGCGTTTTGCCTTTGAATCTTAAGGCGATTATCAGGTCTCAGAGCCTATAGAAAGACAAGGCTACGAAGTTAAGACAATTTCTACAGCTTGAACAAAAAGATTGTGAAGTGGATCGCTCTGTCACGTCGCGGATTTTTTTGAAGAGGTTTCTCTCTCTCTCTCTCTCTGTCTGTCTGTCTGTCTCTCTCTCTCTCTCTGCCTGTCTCTCTCTCTCTGTCTGTCTGTCTGTCTGCCTGCCTGCCTGCCTGCCTGCCTGTCTGTCTGTCTGTCTGACTGTCTGTCTGTCTGTCTGTCTCTGTCTGTCTGTCTGTCTGACTGTCTGTCTGTCTGTCTGTCTGTCTGTCTCTCTCTGTCTCTGTCTGTCTCTGTCTCTGTCTCTGTCTCTGTCTCTCTCTCTCTCTCTGCAACCCAGCAGTGTGGTTTTCAGCAGCTATCCTTTTATCGTATCTCATCACCAAACACATGACTGTGATCAAATCTTGATGTAACTGCCCGCTGTATTTGCAATATCCAAAGGAGTTACACTCCAAAATTTCGCCGGGTCTCTTGATTTTAGGGGAAATGGATGTAGCACGACGGTGGAGATTGGGTTTGGCGCGCGTGTTCCTTATCAGTATTCATGTGTTTCAATGATGTTCCTATAGCGAAGTTACCCAATAAACTGTTTTAATTTGTGACTGTCGAATCATATGGTTTTATGGATTTCCGGGCGGCCAATAGCGGAAGAACTAGCGTGTTTGTTTTGTTGCTCAGATGGGGGTATATGTTACTGCTCAAAGCTTTGAAAAATGTCAAGAAAGCGATTTAGTCACACGCTCATTGGAGAATGACGCCTTTGACACCACGATCTGGCAACTAGCTGAAGGCTATCCTTTTTAATGGCTTTGCAAAGATCGCTGCCATTGATTGTTCAAAGCCGTGGTAGCGGAGTTGGCGCTTTCCGCCGCATAGTAAGCCGATCTAAAGTCGTTTTCATGCAGCAATATCCCCGAGCTCGAATTTAATTTTCTCATCTTTTACCACACAGGTCTTGCAGATATAAAACAAGTGCGCAGCTAAAAATGATAAAGGCACCGAATGGTTTGAGACACCGGTTCAAGCGAAATATCTTTCAATTCTATCTTGCTTTCAACCGGGCTTCCAAGCTGAAGGTGGACTGAAATCAGTTGAATATCAGAGACAGTTATTTCAGAAGAATTTGGACTTCATTTTGCTGGTGGATGAAGAACATCTACGAGCACTTCAAACAAGTCCTCGACATTATCTTGAAGATGTACTGCACTGATGGAATGTCAAAGTCTATTGGTGAATACAAAGTCTTCTACACATTTTTGACATTGAAGGTAGGGCGAAGTTCATGCTGGATGTGACTTTAGTATGTGTGTACAGAGAAGAATGAATGACATCTCGAAAGGGGGTGTGAAAGTTTGTGTCCCTTACAGGGTTACAACTTGGCTTTGGTGCGACCTGCCATTCATTGAGTATTTGGTAGTGGAACTGGACTATGGGAAGATGTCTGCAACAGACTTGAGCAGTTTCGATATTGCTTTGTAGTATTTGAAGCTGCCGGAGTTGCTCTGAGATATCGACCTGTGGGTCTGAGTGAATCTACACGGAGTTCAAGACACTTTAAATACAGTTTGGAGCTTTATTTAGCTTTATGATACTGAGCGAATGCTTTCAGAAGCATTCGCTATGCAGTTGAGTCGGGATGCTATGATTCCATCGATCTCGGAAGTTCTTTGACCTCTTGGAGGAGTATGAATCTAACTGAGATAGTTTTGGATCATCCGTTTCGATTCTTGTC